CCAAGTAAATCAGAAACAAATGCAAGAGCACAAATGGTTTATTTAGCTACCTTTCCATATTGGGTCTTTATGACATTCGATACTCTACTGTATTTTATTTTTTAAACTAAACATATGAAAACTAGCTAAATAACCTGTATTTTCTTTTATTACATTATGATGCCTTTTTTTGGTTCACCTAAGTTTTTTTGTTTTTTGTTTGTTTGTTTGTTTTTGAGATGGAATTTTGCCTGTCTCCCAGGCTGGAGTGCAGTGGTGCAACCTCAGCTCACTGTAGCCTCTGCCTCCTGGGTTGAAGCAATTCTCCTGTCTCAGCCTCCCAAGTAGCTGCGACTGCAGGCACATGCCATCACACCCAGCTAAGTTTTGTATTTTTAGTGGAGACGGGGTTTGACTATATTGGCCAGGCTGGTCTCAAACTCCTGACCTCAAGTGATCTGCTGGGGCCTCCCAAAGTGCTAGGATTACAGGCATGAGCCACCGAGCTCAACCTGCCTAAGTTTAATTAAAAAAACAAAAATGTTCTGAGTGTGACTTTGTTGAAACAACTTATACAGGCATTTTAACTTTGGTGGCAGTTTTAGTCCTACTATCAGTCATCTTTTTTCCATTAGCCCAGCAGTGCTGCTACTTTAATTTAAATCTGCCCCTCTGCCCTCTCCTCAGTCTTTTGGCTGTATTTTGCCCATTGACTGTTAATGCTGATTTTTTTTTTAAAACACAACAGAAACTGTGGATTGCTTATAAAAGAGTTTTCCCACAATAGGCTTATTTTTATTTCACTTGTTTATTAAGAATATTCTTTCAGCTTGTTCTTCAGGTTATCTCCTTGGTTATTTCCTAGAATTTACCAAGTTCTCAGTCAGTGTTCAATCTCCTGTGCTGAACATGAGATTTCTTAGGCCTTAATTCAACTCCTTCTCAAAGGGAGTTAAATATCAGTGTACTTCACCCTTCCTTTGACCTTTGTCTTTTGCTGAAACATGTACTACAAACAATATTTTTTTCCCTTTTTAAGAAGCAATGACAGAAACATATAAGAGTGGAAATCAAATAGTAATGACCACTTCAGATTCTGTGTCATTTAGATATTTTGTTCTAAGTAACAGAAAACCTAATTTAAACTGTCTTAAAAAGATCCTTTATTGATACCCGTAATATGAAAAGCCCAAGGCTTGGCCCTGTTTATCTGTTCTGCCTCACTCTGTATACTTGCTATCTATGAAATATATATCAAAATGACAAAAGCAGTTTTAGATATCTCATTTACATACCATATTTTTAGAAAAATAAAGTGAATGTATTTCTCTGGCATTCCAAGCAAAGAGTTTTTATTGCACTGGTCACTTGCTCACTTTTAAATAAACCACAATAGCTGGGGGAATGTGATCTGTTACATGGCTTTAGATAATGAAGACTGACCCCTCCAAAGCATATGAGCAGTGAAGAGTAGTAGAGCTGAGTATCAGCGGAACAGGTGGGAATGGAGTCTAGGTAGGCCGTGGACATCTGAGGAAATTAAAAACACATAGTTGATTTTCAGTCAAAGTAATATATTAAATTCATGTTTGGGCACCTGGCAATAACTGATGAGGAAAAAAAAAAAAAGCCCCAAAGTATAGTCAGAATAGTAAATAGGTTAACCATCTCTATAGAGTACAAGCACAAAGTAATGAGTGAGGCTGTAGCTGTTTTGGAATTGGCCAAAATAGAAATCATCCAATATCTGATCTCAGACCAAAAGGAATTGAATTAGAATTTGATAACAGAAAGATAGCTGGAAAATCACTGAATTCTTAGAAATTAAATAACACATTTCTAAATAACATAAGTCAATGAAGAAATCTCTAGAGAAATTAATAAATATTTTGAACCAAATGAAAGTGAAAACATAGCCTGACATTTGTGGGATACAGCAAAAGCAGTGCTTAGAGGAAAATTTATAGCATTGAATGTATATATTGGAAAAGAAGAAACATCCAAAATCAACCATCTAAAGCTTCCACCTTATGAAACTAGAAAAAGAAGAGCAAATTAAACCCAAAGTAAGCAGAAGAAAAGAAATAAGGAATAGAGCATAAATTAATAAAACTGAAAGAGAAATCAATAGAGAAAATCAGGGAAACTAAAAGTTGGTTCTTTGAAAAGACCAGTAAAATTAATAAGCCTCCAGCCACACTAAGAAAAGAGAGGACATATATTACTAATATCAGAAATGGGAGAGGACATCACTAGAGATCCCATGGACATTAAAAGGATAATAAAGGTATACTACGAACAACTCTCTGCCCACAAATTTGATAACCTAGATGAAATTCACCAATTATTTGAAAAGCACAAGCTACCAAAATTCACACAAAAAGAAATCAACCATCGGAATAGGCGTATATTCATTCATTAGAGAAATTGAATAAAAAATGCATAACCTCCTAAAACAGGATCAGGCCCAGGTGGGTTCACTGGTGAATTCTACCACACATGTAAGGAAGAAGTTATATCAACTGCCTACAACCTCTTTCAGAGGATAGAAGCAGAGGCAATACTTCTTAACTCATTCAATGAGGCCAACATTTCCCTAATACCAAAACCAAAGACATTACAGGAAAATAAAACTATAGACCAATATTTCTCATGAACAAAGATGCAAAAATCCTCAACAAAATATTAGCAAATCAGATCTAACAATGTACAAAAATACTTAGCATCCTCACCAAGTGGAATTTATCCCAGATATGCCAGGCTGCTTCAACATTTGAAAATCAGTTAATGTAATTCATCACATTCATTAGGCTAAAGAAGAAAAATCGCATGATACTATAAGTAGATGTAACAAAAGTATTTAATAAAATCTAAAACCTGTTTATGATTACGAAAAAACTCTCAGTAAACTACAAATAAAGGAGAACTTCCTTAACTCAATAAAAAAAAAAGATCTTCAAAAACCCTACAGCTAATATACCTAATGGTGAGAAACTTGGAGGTTTCTCACTGAGATGAGGAACAAAGCAAGGATGTTCCTTTTCACCACTGCTTTTCAATGCCATATTGGAAGTCCTAGCTAATGCAGTAAGAAAAGAAAATAAAAATTACACAGGCCAGGCGCAGTGGCTCACGCCTGTAATCCCAGCTACTTGGGATTCTGAGGCAGGAGAATTGCTTGAGCCCAGGAAGCAGAGGTTGCAGTGAGCCGAGATTGCACCACTAAACTCCAGCCGGGGTGACAGCATGAGACTCCATCTCAAAACATAAAGTAAAATAAATAAAAGTTATACAGATTGGGAATAAAGAAATAAAACTACCTTTATTTGCAGATGACATGATCATCTATGTAGAAAATCTGAATAAACTGACAAAACCCCTCCTGGAACTAATAAACAATTATAGCAAGAATGCAGGATACAAAGGTAATAGGCAAAAATTAATTGCTTTCCTATATAACAGCAATGAACAAGTGGAATTTGTAATTAAAAACACAATACTGTTTACATTAGCACCCTCCAAAAGCAATCTAACAAAATATGCATTAGACTATAGGAGGAAAACTACAAAACTGATTAAAGAAATCAAAGAAGAACTAAACTAATGGAGAGATATTCCAGGCTTGTGTATAGACTGACTCAGTATTGTCAAGATGTCACTTTTTCCCAACCCAATCAATCCCAGTCAAAATCCCAGCAAGTTGTTTTGTGGATATTGACAAACTGATTATAAAGATTATGTGGAAAGGCAAAAGACCCAGAATAACCAACACAAGATTGGAAGAGAGCAAAGTTGGAAGACTGACACTCCCCACCTTCAGGATTTACTGTGAAGCTATGGTAATGGAACTAAATAGAAAGCCTAGAAATAGACCTACATAAATATAGTCAGCTGATCTTTGACAAAAAAGCAAAGGATACAATGGAGAAAAATAGTTTTTCAATAAATGATGCTGGAACAACTGGACATTTACATGCAAAAAAATTTGATCTCGACACAGACTTTACACCCGTCGTAAAAATGAACTGAAAGTGGATCGCAGAAGATAACATAGGAGAAAATCCAGATGACCTTGCGTTTGGTGATGACTTTTTAGATACGACACCAAAGGCATGATTTCTTTCACGATTAGGGTTCACTCGGTGTTACATTTTCTGTGTGTTTGGACAAATTTATAATGACATGTATCCATATTATAGTATCATACAGATTAGGTTCACTGCCCTAAAAATCGTCTGTGCCCTGCCTGTTCTTTTCTCCCTCCTTTCTAACCCCAAACCATGGATATTTTTACTGTCTCTTTAATTTTGTCTTTCCCAGAGTGTCACTTAATTGAAATTGTACAGTATGAAAGAATTGATAGTTGGACTTCATTAAAATTAAAATTCTCTGCTCTGCAGAGACACTATTAAGAGAATAAAAATAAAAGGCACAGACTGGGAGAAATGTTTTCTTTTCTTTTCTTTTTTTTTTTTTTTAAGACGGAGTCTCACTCTGTCACCCAGGCTGGAGTGCAGTGGTGCGATCTTGGCTCACTGCAACCTCCTCTCCTGCCTCAGCCTCCTGAGTTCCTGGAATTACAGATGTACACCACTATGCCTGGCTGATTTTTGTATTTTTAGTAGAGACGGGGTTTCACCATGTTGGCCAGGCTGGTCTCGAACTGCTGACCTCAGGTGATCCGCCCACCTCGGTCTCCCAAAGTGCTGGGATTACAGGTGTGAGCCACTGCACCCAGCCCAAAATGTTTTCAAAAGACATATATGATAAAGGCTGTTATGCAAAATACACAAAGAACTCTTAAAACTCAACAAAAAGAAAGGTGGGTATGGGCGCTGGCTGGAGTTGCTCAGTGCTCACCATCCTCTTCTCAAAGCCATGTCTGTAAGACACCATGGTGAAGGTGAAGGCCAGAGTAAATAGATTTGGCCATATTGAGCGCCTGGTCACCAGGGCTGCTTTTAACTCTAGTAAAGTGGATATTGTCGCCATCAATGACCCTTCATTGACCTCAACTACATGGTCAACATCTTCCTGGTATTTCTACCCATGGCAAATCCCACTGCACCGTCAAGGCTGAGAATGGAAGCTTGTCATTAATGGAAATCCCATCACCATCTTCCAGGAGCAAGATCCCACCAAAATCAAATGGGGTGATGCTGACGCTGAGTACGCTATGGAGTCCACTGGCATCTTCACGACCATGGAGAATCTCGGCCAGGGCTTACGTAACGGGGGAGCCAAAAGGGTCATTATCTCTACCCCCTCTGCTGATGCCCCCATGTTCATAATGGGCATGATCCATGAGAAGTATGAAAACAGCCTCAAGATCATCAGCAATGCCTCCTGTACTACCAACTGCTTAATCCCACTGACCAAGCCCACCCATGACAACTCTGGCATTGTGGAAGGACTCGTGACCCAGAAGACTGTGGATGGTCTCCGTGGGAAACTGTGGCATGATGTCTGTGGGGCTCTCCAGAACATCATCCCTGTATCTACTGGTGCTGCCAAGACTGTAGGCAAGGCCATCCCCGAGCTGAACAGGAAGCTCACTGACATGGCCTTCCATGTTCCCTTCTGCAAGTGTGTTGGTTGTGGACCTGACCTGCCATCTGGAGAAACCTGCCAAATATGATGACATCAAAAAGGTGGTGAAGCAGGCGTTGGAGGGCCCCTCAAGGGCATCCTGGGCTACGCTGAACACCAGGTTGTTTCCTCTGACTTGAACAGTGACACCCACTTTTCCACTTTCAGTGCTGGGGCTGGCTTTGCCCTCAGTGACCACTTTGTCAAGATCATTTCCTCATATAACAATGAATTTGGCTACAGCAACAGGGTGGTGGCCCATATGGCCTCCAAGGAGTAAGACTCCTTGACAGCCAGCCCCAGTGAGAGCACAAGAGGAAGAGAGAGACCTTCAGCTTCTGGGGAGTCCCTGTCACACTCAGTCCCCCACCACACTTGGAATCTCCCCTCCTCACAATTTCCATGCAGACCCCACAAAGCTCTGCCTTGTCGTGTACCATCAATGAAGTCCCCTGTACTCAAAAAAAAAAAAAAGAAAGAAAGAAAATGAACAACCTGATTTTAAAAATAAGCCAAAGATCTTAATGGACACCTCATCACAGAAGATATACACATGGCAAATAAACATATGAAAAAGATGCTCCACGTCATATGTCATCAGGGAAATGCAAATTAAAACAGTGAGATCCCACTACACACTTACTAAAATGGCTAAAATCTAGAATGCTGACACCACCACCAAATGATGGTGAGAATGTGGATTAACAGGAACTCTTATTCATTGCTAGTGGGAATGCAAAATGGTACAGCCACTTTGGGAGACAATTTGGTGGTTTCTTAAAAAAACTAAACATGCTCTTACCATCCAGCAATTACATTCCTTGGTATTTAGCCAAAGGAGTGAAAAACTGTCCACACAGAAACCTGCATGTGGATGTTCACATCAGCCTTATTCATAATTGCCAGAACATGGAAGCAACCAAGATGTCCTTCAGTAGGTGAACAGATAAACTGTAATACATACAAAGAATGGTATATTATGCAGTCCTAAAGAGAAGCTATGAAGCTGTGAAAAGATACAGGAAACTTAATACATATTACAAGGGAAAGAAGCCAATCTGAAACAGCTACATACTGTATGATTTCCATTATATGACATTCTGGAAAAGGCAAAATGATAGAGACAATAAAAATATCAGGGGTTGGGTAAAGGGAGGGATGCATAGGCAGAGCCCCGAAGATTTTTAGGGCAGTGAACCTAATCTGCATGATACTGTAATGATGAATACATGTCATTATACATTTGTCTAAACCCATAGAATGTATAACACCAAGAGTGAACCCTAATGTAAACTACGGACTTTGGGTGATAATGATGTGTTAGTGTAGGATCATCAGTCATAACAGATGTACCCTCTGGTGGTGGCAGGGTGGGGGATATGGGAAATCTGCTCAGTGTTGCTGTGAACCCAAAACTGATCTAAAAAATAAAGACCATTTTTAAAAAGATAAATAATGAAAGATATGCTCATAGCTCAGTCGTGATACTAGTAATGCAGTTTTTTTTTTTTATTTTTTTTGCAGAATTGTGCTTTTGAAGAAATCAGAATGTTATTCTCAATTTTTTGGTGATTATTTAAATTTTCCCCATTTTTATATGGCTTCTTTTAAAATGTTTCACTTTATTCTTTTCCTAATTTATATTAGAATGGCAATATATGTTTAACACTTGTATTTTTATACATTTATGGGTTTTTAATGTTCTGAAATGTTGTTTTTTACTTCAAATGTGTTGAATATTTAACTTGTTAAAACATTCCAGGCTGGGCACAGTGGCTCACACTTGTAGTCCTAGCACTTTGGGAGGTTAAGGCAGGAGGATCACTTGAACCCAGGAGTTTGAGGCCAGCCTGGGCAGCATAGTAAGACACCATCTGTTTAAAAAAAAAAATCTGAATTAAAAAAAAAAAAAAATAACCAGCATTAATGCTAGTGTTCCATATTATGTAAAATAAGTGTGAAATACCCAAACTATTGTTTTGCTTTCATATTGCTATTGCATTTCTTTCTTTCTTTTTTTTTTTTTCATTTCTGAGTAGATCTTTAAAATTTGTTTTTAATTTAAAAAAATTTCTTATTTCTAAAAATTTTTGTGGATACATAAATAGGTGTATATCATACTGCATTTCTATCTAATATGTACCTGCTTATGGGAAGAGTCAACAAATGTTTATTATTTCTAAATACTCCTATTTCTCGGACATTAAAAGATGTTCAAGAAGTAGTCATGTGAACATGATTTCTTTTTAAATGTGATATCAATTTTATTGGTACCCAATTTTTGTCATACATTTTTAGTTTAGTTATATTTTTTGGGTACCTTCAGTGAATGCCTTCATTTTCTTTCTTTTTTTTTATTTTTGAGACGGAGTCTCGCTCTGTCCCCCAGGCTGGAGTGCAGTGGCACGATCTCAGCTCACTGCAAGCTCCGCCTCCTGGGTTTATGCCATTCTCCTGCCTCAGCCTCCCGAGTAGCTGGGACTACAGGCACCTGCCACCATACCTGGCTAATTTTTTGTATTTTTAGTAGAGACGGGGTTTCACCATGTTAGCCAGGGTGGTATCGATCTCCTGACCTCGTGATCCACCCGCCTCAGCCTCCCAAAGTGCTGGGATTACAGACGTGAGCCACCGCGCCCTGCCAATTCCTTCATTTTCATTGTCATTATATAAGCATTTATACTGACTTCCAGACTCCACTGAAAGACTTGTTTGAATGCATATTTTGTGTTTGGACCATACATTCACTTAACAGAAAAGATACAGGTTGAGCACTTAGTGTGTAATAGGTAATGCGAAATACTGTGGATAGTGCAGAACAAGACAAACTCATGCGCTCAAAGTTTACTTTCAAACTGGGGAGATGTGTACATCATGATTAAGCACATAAATAAGAAAATTATAGATTGTAATGAAAACACGAACAAAGTAAGCAGGGTGATGTGAGAAGTAACGTGGGGAGAAGTAGGTGACATTTGAGCTGAGACCTGAATTATTCTCCATCCAGGGGAAGTACATTCTAGCAGAAAGAGAAGTAAGTGCACCCCTTAGGCAGGAAGGAGCTTCAGGGAATGTAAAGGAGGCAATCACGGGTAGAGTATAGAAAACAAGAAAGGGGAATGGTTAAAGATGAATTTGGAGAGGTAGGCAGGAACAAAATTATCAGGGCTTTGTAGCCTTATAATTTATCCTTTATTAAGGATTTTGGCTGTTTTAAATGCATTGGGCTGCCATTGACATATTTCAGGTAAGGAAATGGTTTGTGTTTTTGGAAGATTTTTTTTTTCCTGTATTGAGAACGGATTGTAGAGAGGCAAAAGTGGAAATGGAGAATAACTAAAGTAGAAGGCCATGCTTGGGCCATGGGAGCTACTAAAAATACTTTTAGCTTGGAAGTGATGCTCACAAAGCATGGGATGAAAAAATGAGCATGGTAGCTTCATGCCATTGACTGGGGTTAGGGGGTGACAGAAGAGAGAGTGAGACTGAGAGACCAGTTAGGAAGATACTGGAAAACTTCATGTATAAAATTGTTTGTTAGGGCACAAATTAAGAGTGAAGGCAGTGTCAATAAAATGGAAAAAGAATTTGCAAGACAATGAAAGAACTGACAGGGCTTTGTGTCTGATTCAGTGTCAGGAGAAAAGAAAGCATCAAGGATTTGAAGACAGGGTTTCTAGGGAGGTATTGTTACCACCGGCAGAGAATTTTGGAGCAGTGTCTTTGGAGTATATGTATGGGGTACTGGTTTTATTTTATTTTATTCTATTTTTTAAGACAAGATCTTACTCTGTTGCCCAGGCTAGAGTGCTGTGGCATGATCACAGCTTACTGCAGCCTCAAGCTCCCAGGCTTAAGCCATTTGAATTAGTCTGTTTTCACACTGCTCTAAATAGCTTATAAACAAAAGAAGTTCAATTGACTAACAGTTCCTCATGGCTGGAGAGGCCTCTGGAAACTTAGAATCCCTGGGGAAGGTAAAAGGTAAGCAAGGCACATCTTATATGACGACAGGAGAGAGAGAGAAAATGCCACTTTTAAAACCATCAAATCTCATGGGCACTCCCTCAGTATCATGAAAACAGCATGAGGGAAACCGCCCCTATGATCCAGTCACCTCCCACCAGGTCCCTCCCTTGACATATGGGGATTACAATTTGAGATGAGATTTGGGTGGGGACATAGAGCCAAACCATATCGTTCTGCCCCTGGCCCCTCCAAAATATGTCCTTTTCACATTTCAAACCAATCATGCCTTCCCAATAGTCCCCCAGAGTCTTAACTCATTCCAACATTAACCTAAAGTCCAAGTCCAAATCTGATCTGAGACAAGGCAAGTCTCTTCCATCTATGAGTCTGTAAAATCAAAAGCAAGTTAGTTACTTCCAAGATACAATGGGGGCACAGGCATTGGGTAGATGCTCCCATTCCAAATGGGAGAAATTGGCCAAAACAAAGGGGCCTCAGGCCCTGTGCAAGTCTGAAACCCAGCCACGCAGTCATTAAATCTTAAACTCCAAAATCTCCTTTAACTCCATGTCTCACACCCAGGGTACGCTGATGCAAGGGGTGTGCTCCCATGGCCTTGGGCAGCTTTGCCCCTGTGGCTCTGCAGGGTACAGCCCCTGTGGTGCTTTCATGGGCTGGCATTGAATGCCTGTTGCTTTTCCAGACGCACGGTGCAAGCTGTCATTAGATCTACTTTTCTGTGGTCTGGAGGACAGTGGCCCTCTTCTCATAGTTCCACTAGGCAGTGCCCCAGTGGGGACTCGGTGTGGGGGCTCCATCCCCACATTTCCCTTCCACACTGCCCTGGCAGAGGTTCTCTATAAGAGTTCTGCCCCTGCAGCAGACTTCCGTCTGGACATCCAGGCATTTCCATATGTCCTCTGAAATCTAGATGGAGGTTCCCAAAGCTCAACTCTTGTCTTCTGCACACCTGCAGGCCCAACACCACATGGAAGGTGCCAAGGCTTGGGGCCCGCACCCTCAGAAGCAATGGTCTGAGCTGTAGTCTGGCCCCTTTTAGCCATGGCTGGAGCTGGAGTAGCCGGGACGCTGGACACCATATTCCGAGACTGCAGAGAGCAGCAGGGGCCTGATCCCAGCCCACAAAACCATTTTTCCCTCCTAGGCCTTCTGGCCTGTGATGGAAGGGGCTGCCATGAAGATCTCTGACATGCCTTGGCGAAATTTTTCCCATTTTCTTGGCTATTAACATTCTGTTCCTTGTTGCTTAGGCAAATTTTTGCAGCATGCTTGAGTTTCTCCCCAGAAAATGGGGTTTTCTTTTCTACCAGTCAGGCTGCAAATTTCCAAACTTTTATGCTCTGCTTCCCTTTTAAGCATAAATTCCAATTGCAGATTATCTCTTTGTGAACCCATTTGTACACTCAGAAAAATCCAGGCCCCATCTTTAATGCTTTGCTGCTTAGAAATTTCTTCTGCCAGATACCCTAAATCATCTCTCTCAAGTTCAAAGTTCCACAGATCTCTAGGGTAGGGGCAAAGTGCCACCGGTCTTTTTACTAAAGCATAGCATGAGTGACCTTTACTCCAGTTCCCATTAAGTTCCTCATCTCTTTCTGAGACCACCTCAGCCTTGATTTCATTGTCCATATCACTATCAGCATTTTGGTTAAAATCATTCAGCAAGTCTCTAGGAAGTTCCAGGCTTTCCCATATCTTCTGAGCCCCCCAAACTGTTCCAACCTTTGCCTGTTACCCAGTTCCAAAGTCACTTCCATTTTTTCAGGTTATTTTTATGGCAGCGCCCCAATCCTGGTACTAATTCTCTGTATTAGTCTGTTTTCACACTGCTATAAAGATACTACTTGAGGCCGGGCACGATGGCTGACGCCTGTAATCCCAGCACTTTGGGAGGCCGAGGCGGGTGGATCACGAGGTCAGGAGATTGAGACCATCCTGGCTAACATGGTGAAACCCCGTCTGTACTAAAAAATACAAAAAATTAGCCGGGCGTGGTGGCGGGCACCTGTAGTCCCAGCTTCTTGGGAGGCTGAGGCAGGAGAATGGTGTGAACCCGCAAACTAGAGCTTGCGGTGAGCCAAGATTGCGCCCCAGCACTCCAGCCTGGGCGACAGAGCAAGACTCTGTCTCAAAAAAAAAAAAAAAAAGAAAAGACACTACTTGAGGCTGGGTAATTTATAAACAAAAGGTTTAATTGATGCGTGGTTCCACATGGTTGGGGAGGCTTCAAGAAACTTGGAATCATGGTGGAAGGTTATGGAGAAGCAAGGAACATCTTATATGGTGGCAAGAGAGAGTGTGGGGGAAACTGTCAATTTTAAAACCATCTGATCTTGTTAGTTCTCCCTCACTATCATGAGAACAGCATGGGAGAAACCACCCCTATGCTCCATTCACCTCCCACCAGGTCCCTCCCTTGACATGTGGGGACTACAATTTAAGATGAGATTTGAGTGAGGACACGAAGCCAAATCATATCACCATCCTCCCACCTCAGTCTCCCGAGTAGCTGGGACTACAGGTGCGTGTCACCACACCCAACTAATACACACACACCCCCACATATATATATGTGTGTGTGTATATGTGTATATATGTATTTTTTTTTTAAGAGACAGGGTCTCACTATGTTGCCCAGGCTTGTCTCGAATGCCTGGGCTGAAGCAATTCTCCCACCTCTGCCTCCCAAAGTGCTGGGATTACAGGCATGAGTCAGCACACCCAGCCTCTGGAGTGCTGGTTTTAGATATGATATTAAAGCTTTGGCAAAATACCCATTTGAGACTTTGATCTGCCCTATGTACGTACTCCTGTGCCAGTGTACAATACTGTTATTATCTCCTTGGGCTTCTCTGCTTGTTCACTCTGTAAAGAGCACCAAACTCTACAAGTTGCTCTGACCCCGTTCAAGGCAGAAATCTTTTTACTTGTTGTTACCAAGATGTGGAAATCATTTTACCCTTAACTCAAAGTGAACTTATTTTGAGGGAAACTTTTACTAAGAAACTAAGAAAAAAATATATGGCATCTTATATTTGTATATTTCATTATAGTTT